GGGTAGAGCGCTTCAAGTTCCTCGGTGTCCACATCACTAAGGAATTAACATGGTCCACACACACCAACACAGTCGTGAAGAAGGCACGACAATGCCTTATCCCACTCAGGAGGCTGAAAAGATTTGGCATGGAACCTCAGATCCTCAAAAAGTTATACAGCCACACCATTGAGAGCATCTTATCTGGCTGTATCACCACTTGGTATGGCAACTGCTTGGCATCCGACCGTAAGGCACTACAGAGGGTAGTGCATACGGCCCAGTACATCACTGGGGCGGAGCTCCCTTCCAAGACCTTTATACCAGGCGATGTCAGAGGAATTCAATAAAAATTGTCAAAGACTCCAGCCACCCAAGTCATAGACTATTCTCTTTGCTACCACACGGCAAGCGGTACCAATACACAAGTTGGAACCAAAAGCCAAATTCTATTACAAGCATACACTGTAGGTGAGATTCCAGTCTCGCACAGTGATGACTTATGATAAAAAATACAGCTGCCTACTGTTTTTAAGTAGGAAAACCTCCAATATCGTCATGTACATACAGTATGTACATACAGTATAGGTAGGTGGACACCTGTCGTCGAACATCTCATTCCAAAATCATGGACATTAATATGGAGTTGGTCCTCCCTTTGCTGCTATAACAGACTCTACTCTTCTGGGACTTCCTTCCATTCAGCCACAAGAGCATTAGTGAGGTCAGGCACTGATGTTGGGCGATTAGGCCTGGCTCACAGTCGGTGTTCCAATTTATCCCAAAGGTGTTTGATGGGGTTGAGGTCAGGGCTCTGTGCAGGCCAGTCAAGTGCTTCCACACCGATCTCTACAAACCATTTCTGTATGGACCTCGCTTTGTGCACGGGGGCATTGTCATGCTGAAACAGGAAAGGGCCTTCCCCAAACTGTTGCCACAAATTTGGAAGCACAGAATCGTCTAGAATGTCATTGTATGCTGTAGCATTAAGATTTTCCTTCACTGGAATTTAGGGGCCTAGCCCAAACCTTGAAAAACAGCCCCAGACCATTATTCCTCCTCCACCAAACCTTACAGTTGGCACTATGCATTGGGGCAGGTAGCATTCTCCTGGCATCTGCCAAACCCAGATTCGTCCATCGGACTGCCAGATGGTGAAGCGTGATTCATCACTCCAGACAACGCGTTTCTACTGCTCCAGAGTCCAATAGAGGTGAGCTTTACACCACTCCAGCCGATGCTTGGCATTGTGCATGGTGATCTTAGGCTTGTGTGCGGCTGCTCGGCCATGGAAACCCATTTCATGAAGCTCCCGACGAACAGTTATTGTGCTGACATTGCTTCCCGAGGCAGTTTGGAGCTCAGTAGTGAGTGTTGCAACCTAAGACAGATGATTTTAATGCGTTACGTGCTTCAGCACTCTGGGGTCCCATTCTGTGAGCTTGTGTGGTACCGCGGCTGAGCCGTTGTTGCTCCTAGACTTTTCCACTTCACAATAACAGCACTTACAGTTGACTGGGGCAGCTCTAGCAGGGCAGAAATTTGATGAACTGACTTGTTGGAAAGGTGGCATCCTTTGATGGTGCCACATTGAAAGTCACTGAGCTCTTCATTACGGGCCATCCTACTGCCAAAGTTTGTCTATGGAGATTGCATGGCTGTGTGCTCGATTTTATACACCTGTCAACAACGGGTGAGGCTGAAATAGCCGAATGCACTAATTTGAAGGGGTGTCCACATACTACATCAATTAATTGGTTCCCCTGCACATCGACTCGGTACTGGTACCCCGTGTATATAGCCAAGTGATTAATACACATTGTGTATTTATTCCTCATGTTATTATTTTCTCTATTGTTGGGAAGAGCCAGTAAGTAAGCATTTCACTATTAGTCTAGACCTGTTGTGACAAATTAATTCGATTTGATTAGATTTTAGCACATAACCAAACACGATTTACATTATAAATTTGAACAGAAGTGAGGCGAGTTAGAACAGAAGTCACGCACCTGCCACTTGGGTGTCGCTCCGGGCTCAAACACGCAACAAGCTCAATTCCCCTCCCCACCAAACCATTCACATCATCAGACAGTATCCATGTGTTTTGCCCCCTGATCATAGTTATGAGGTCGACATACTTTGAAACTGTTACTGTGGTCGTAATCATTATTCTGAGTTAATTCAATGACGGGGAGGGTAAAGCAAAGGGAAGGATCACGTGAAAATATGTTAAACTTTTTTATTGACACCCCCTCTCCCCCAGCAATTTCTGAACGGTTCGTTACAGTCATGTGTGCATACATTTTACATATGGTTGGACCCGGGAACCGAATCCACTATCCTGGTGCCATGCTCTACCAACTGAGCTACAGAGGACCACAAGTGAAGAACCATCTAGTACATTTAACCAATTAATCATCATCAAGAAATTAATACATGTGATATAATTATAGAATGAATATAAAAATATGCAATAAAACCTGAAATACAGATGAACTGAAATAAACATAAAGGGTGGAAATGGATGGTTAAACTAAAATATTTGGAGATGACAAAGTGAGCTTGATTTATATTTGTTATTTACATTTGTCTGATAGATGAAAAAGGTTCTGATGAGGTATATTACCACAGTCCCTATATTCACTTCTCTCAGGTAGAGCCGAAACCGTGAATCCAGATCTACAGTCATGGTGTTACTGTCTCTCTCCCCTCTGCAGCATTCACATATCACTGCCACTGGTCTCCCTCTGTGCTCCTCTGCTACCATGCTCTTTCCTCTGACACACACACAAACACACAAACACGTGCATGCTCGCACACATGCACACACACACACACACACACACGTTATGTGTGGTCAAATAAATGCTACTTATATACACATTTCCAAAAGTGTTAGAACTACAGTGATTTTTTTAGTGTGCAAATGACTAATACTAGCCTAAAGAGTGCTCTCACCTGGATGACTTCATAAGTAGAGGTCACGTTGGAGATCTCTAGTGTGGCGTATGTGTCATCTACTGACTGTTGGCAGACACGGGGACATGTCACACAATAAGTGCCTCATACATAATACAGTATTTAATAGCAAAAGCACAATACATAGAAAACATAAACACTATTAACATGTTATTTCTAGGTAATTACAATAAGTTACCTGTTACTATCTTCAAAACAAAAGAAATGACCAAGTATTACTATGTATTTTCTAGGTAATTCCAAAGAAATTTCTGTACTGTAAGATAAAGTGCTACCGACATACCTTCAGTCCTCTGGATAATCTGATAGTGAATAGAGATGACGACAAAGATTAGAATGGAAATATTGAAATTGATATATTACCATATACAGTGCCTTCAGAAAGTATTCAGACCCCTTGACTTTTTCCACAGTTTGTTACGTTACAGGCTTATTCTAAAATTGATTAAGTAAAACCATTTCCACAGCTATCTACACACAATACCCCATAATGACAAAGCGAAAAGAGGTTTGTGGAAATGTTTGCACATTTATTAAAAACAAAAAAGTATTCAGACCCTTTGCTATATGACTCGAAATTGAGCTCAGGTCCATATCCTGTTTCCACTGATCATCCTTGAGATGTTTCTGCATTGAAGGTCCCCAAGAACACGGTGGCCTCCATCATTCTTAAATGGAAGAAGTTTGGAACCACTAAGACTCTTCCTAGAGCTGGCCGCTGGCCAAACTGAGCAATCGGGAGAGAAGGGCCTTGGTCAGGGAGGTGACCAAGAACCTGATGGTCACTCTGACAGAGCTACAGAGTTCCTCTGTGGAGATGGTAGAACCTTCCAGAAGGACAACCATCTCTGCAGCACTCCACCAATCAGGCCTTTATGGTAGAGTGGCCAGACAGAAGCCACTACTCAGTAAATGGCACATGACAGCCCGCTAGGAGTTTGCCAAAAGGCACCTAAAGACTCTCAGACCATGAGAAACAAGATTCTCTGGTCTGATGAAACCAAGATTGAACTCTTTTGCCTGAATGCCAAGCGTCACGTCTGGAGAAAACCTGGCACCATCCCTACGGTGAAGCATGGTGGTGGCAGCATCATGCTGTGGGGATGTTTTTCAGTGGCAGGGACTGGGAGACTAGTCAGGATCAAGGCAAAGATGAACGGAGCAAAGTACAGAGAGATTCTTGATGAAAACCTGCTCCAGAGCGCTCAGGACCTCAGACTGGGGTGAAGGTTCACCTTCCAACAGGACAACGACCCTAAGCACACAGCCAAGACGTCATACCCAAGAAGACTCAAGGCTGTAATCGCTGCCAAAGGTGCTTCAACAAAGTACTGAGTAAAGGGTCTGAATACTTATGTAAATGTGATATTTCAGTTTTTATATTTTTATACATTTCCTAAAGTTTATAAAAAACAGTTTTTGCTTTGTCATTATGGGGTATTGTGTGTAGATTGATGAGGGGGGGAAAACAATTTAATCAATTTTAGAATAAGGCTGTAATGTAACAAAATGTGGAAAAAGTCAAGGGGTCTGAACACTTTCCGAATGCACTGTATATTACCATATGGATATATTAATCTCTCGATGACAGACTACCAATGACCAAATTACGCTAGATTTTAGTTCTGGGTTAACCAAGATTATATATATTACTATTTCTGAAAAATGTCCATGAAATAATGAAATACAAGATTTTACTTGCTTAGCAATTACAGTAAGTCCATTTTACCTGATATATCTATAGACTCCGAAGATGACTGTTAGAATCCACAGGACAATGACCACTCCACAGATTATGGATGGAACTGATACTTGAGTTACAAGACAAGTTACTTTGTTAGTTTCCAAATCCACAGTCTCTATACTTTCTGTATGTTTACCAAATGTCTTTATAACGGATTTATACAGGTAATAGAATAATCATTAAATTGTAAAATTGCTTAAAATGTAATTGATTTCATTTTAATTAATTAAATAATTTAATTATACACAACAATCTGTTTAATCTAGTATATTCTCATTGTTACAGCACTAGGCCTACCTGTAGGTGTGGAGGGGCAGTGGTGCAGATACACAAAGATGTTGGCCATTTCTTTGCCATAGCTATTCTGTGCTTCACAACAGAACAGTCCACTCTCACTGATATCCTGCAGAACCAGAGACTGAGATCTAGACTCCATCGGGACCATCTTGCTCTCATTGACTCTGTACCAGTTGTAGGTCTTCACTGCTGGGTTGGCATTGCTGCTGCAGGTCAGAGTCAATGAGCTTCCCTCTACGACTAGACCAGAGGGACTGACTGATACTGAGGTGTTCCTGGGTTTATCTATAAAAAGTAAAAGACAATGTTTAAAAAAGAGTGAACTTATTGGGTGCCACCATTTCACCCTGACCCATTGCTAGCAGTGGATGCATCTGGTTCATGCTAGAATACATGTAGTTGTTTTTATTTTATACTTACATGCCACACCTAGCTGAAAGACAGCAGACTTCTGCAATCCAAGGTCATTTCTGGCCTCACAGTAGAACTGGGTGTTGTCTGGCGACACCTGGACAGTTAGCACTCTTGTAGCCTTCACTGGTGCCACCTGATCTTCATTAACTCTGTACCAGGTGTAGCTCTTCACTGCTGGATTGGCATTGCTTCTGCAGGTCAGAGTCACAGAGCTGCCCTCTACCATTGAACCAGAGGGACTGACTGACGCGAATGTCTTCTTGGGAGGGTCTGGGGGAAAGAAACAACCGATATTGTATGTCAAGAATCAATTTAGTGTGTGTTATGATGCTGGCTATAGTTTAAAATATGTATCATATTTGGTTTCATTTTGTACATACACATCCCATCTAGTTGAATGACAGATGAGTTCTCTGTTCCATGATCATTGCTGGCTTCACAGTAGAAATAACTGTCATCTGCTGGTACCTGGACAGATAGCATTCTTCTAGCCCCCACTGTTGTGACCTGTTCTCCATTGACTCTGTACCAGTTGTAGCGCCCCACTGCTGGGTTGGCATTGCTGCTGCAGGTCAGACTCACAGAGCTGCCCTCTACCACTGAACTAGAGGGACTGACTGATGCTAATGTGTTCCTGGGAGGGTCTGTAAAAAGTTAGATTAAATGTTTTTTATTTAATTATTTATTTGTGGGGCCTCCATTTCACCCTGACCCATTGCTAGCAGTGGGTCAATCTGGTTCATGCTACAATATAGTTTTTTGTTTTTTTATACTTACATGGCACACCTAGTTGAATGACAGTAGACTTCTGCAACCCAAGATAATTGCTGGCCTCACAGTAGAACTGGCTGTTGTCTGCAGACACCTGGATAGTTACAACTCTTCTAGACCCCGCTGATGTGAACTGTTTTCCATCAACTCTAAACCAGTTGTAGGTCAATACTCCTGGATTGGCATTGCTGATGCAGGTCAGAGTCACAGAGCTGCCCTCTACCACTGAACCAGAGGGACGGACTGACACTGAGGTGTTCCTGGGAGGGTCTGGGGGAAATAAAAACATACTGATTTACTATCAACACAAACTGGCCTAACTTATTCCATTATAACCAGAAGAACAATTGAACATACATAGAACAGTGATTGTGAGGCTTTTCTCAGATGATACATCACTGTTGCCATCTTGTCGTTTGTAGAGAGCAGTGCAGGACATTGTCTGTCCATGATGAAGGTATGATGCAGTGAAGGTCAGAGTAGATTCCGTGACTTCAGTTTGGTGCCTTCTTTTGTTTTGTTTCTTCACACTGTCACCCAGTCTGGGGGTCCATGTCAGAGTTGGAGGGAGAAAGGGACAGGGGCTTGCAGCAGAGCAGATCAAAATCACTGATTCCCCCTCTTTCACAATCACTGTAACTGGGGTTAGAGTGGGTTGGGGAGGAGAGTCTTCAGGAGATAAAAATGTAATATAGTTTATAACACAAGCAGACATAGGCTACATCAATTTAATACTGTAACTGACATGGCACAAATAAATGGCTTATTCTAATGCATGAACATTCAGTAGGATGTGTTATTTTTGCTAAAGTAGTATTCCTGAATTTAGTGACAAGAAATTAGACACTCTTTCTCCACCTAATTAACCACCTGCATAAACATGTGAACACAGTAACTAACCTCAACCACCAGAAATAAAAACACAGAACTGTTGTAAATAGTAATAATGTACCTTTAACATCAATATTGATGCTTTCAGGAAACTTAAATGGAAGACTTTTGTCACATTCAAGGTTGAAGAAAGATTGGGATAGGTAGGAACGGGGATAAGGGTAAGGAAGGTTCAAGATAGTGGTGCAGTTCTTCTCCAGCAAGTCATCTCTTGTGGGTGCCATTAACACTGGTTTCACGATTACTCTGTTCCATGTTCCTTTACATGGACGAGTGAGGGATGACTCATATTTAGACTCCAATGTAAATCTACATGGAATTAGCACACAAGATCCACTCAGAGCCTTAATACCGCTGGGAATCAAGACTTTCCCATTTTGGCACAGAGCACCTGAAATACACAACAGAATGTTTAGACTGAGAATGAATAGCATAAACACAATGGCTATGGCTTGTATCTAGGATACAGTAACACATTAAGCCATATAGAAAACTCTTTAACCCTATTCTGAACCGGCTGGTAGAGCATGTTTTGGCAATGGATTTTAGAAGTGGATATGAAAAAAATCTTAATTTGAACTTGATTGGTCAACTAAATTAACATACTTTATTATGCATCAATAAACATAATTGATATCCTTCTGGGTTAATGCAGTTCAGTATTGTGGCACTCTAACTTTGCCCATTCAGACGACCGTAAGAAACTCAAAATCAGTCACCAAAGATATGGCATAAAAAGGTACAAATTCAGTTAGTTGAGGGATTCATATTTCACCATTCCTGTTAGTAGAGACCTTGAAGAGTAGGAATATTAAAATAAATAGTTAAAATGTCAAAAGGCATAAAAGCAATACTTTTGAAAACATGTACTCAACCAGGCTTGATGTCAGTAAAAAGTATGGTGGACTAAGAATAGGATACATACATTTGTATTAAAAATACTTATTTTGGTGAAAAAATATGATTGAATTGTTGACGACACACTATATTAGGAAACATAAATTGTTTAAACCACATTTCATGATCCATGGGGTCAATTAATAGTGCTGAGCAATTAACCCACATTTCGTTTTTATTCCGGTTATTAAACAACTAATTGACCGACGTCGGTTCAATTACTTGAATTCCTTTAGTTCGTTTTTTTTTAGGCCAACCCACCGTTTCTCTGGAGAGAAATCAGATCGTTCACAAGATAAATCAATTATAGAAGTATGTGGGACGCTGGGCTGAAGGTAGTAGTAGTTTTCATTAAACAAATATTCAACATAGTTCAGCTCAGAAACGTGGTAATTAACTACAATGACCATAATTCATGGTGCCAGTTTTTTTCCCGTCTTGACAGAGAGGAAGAAGTGAAACGAGATGTTTCACTCTCGACAAAATCTGTCCAAAATAATCCCAATGCTTTTCTATTGTTTAATTTTGGACCTACATTTGATGCCTGCCTTCTCGCCTTCGGAACATCGACTCCCATTGTTAGGGCGGAGACATGATCATCTCGTTATTATTTGCAGATCTTTGGACAGATACACCTTACGCATGCTAGGTTAGGTAGATACACACAGACCCCCAACTGTCACGATCGTTACAGGAAGACTCGGACCAAGGCGCAACGTGATAAGCGTACATTTTATTTACCGTACTGCACACGAAACAAAACAACAAACCAAACGATACGTGAAGTCCTAGGTTATACACACCAAACCAAACGGAACAAGATCCCACAATAAACTAGTGAAAACAGGCTGCCTAAGTATGGTCCCCAATCAGAGACAACGAGCTACAGCTGCCTCTGATTGGGAACCACCCTGGCCAACATAGATCTAAACGATCTAGAACGAAAACATAGAAAATGTAACAGAAACTCCACACCCTGGCTCAACATTTAAGAGTCCCCCGAGCCAGGGCGTGACAGTACCCCCCCCCCGCCCCCCCCAAAGGCGCGGACTGCGACCGTGCCACACCAACACAACGGGGTAGGGGCCGGGTGGGCATTCCGCCTCGGAGGCGGATCCGGCTCCGGGCGTGACCACCACTCTCTCTCTACCCCCCCGTAGCGCCCCTGGTCTGGTCCCGCTGGCCGGAGCTGGACTGGACACCGGTGGAGCGGATTGCTCTGGCTCCGGTGTGGAGCAGCTGACTGGTACCGGACCAGGCACCGGTGGAACAGGCACGGACCGTGCCGGACTGACGACGCGCACCACTGTCTTGGTGCGGGGAGCAGGAACGGGCCGGACCGGGCTGACGACGCGCACCACTGGCTTGGTGCGGGGAGCAGAAACGGGCCGGACCGGGCTGACGACGCGCACCACTGGCTTGGTGCGGGGAGCAGGAACGGGCCGGACCGGGCTGGCGACGCGCACCACAGGCTTGGTGCGAGGGACAGGAACAGGCCGGACCGGGCTGGCGACGCGCACCACTGTCTTGGTGCGGGGAGCAGGAACGGGCCGGACCGGGCTGGCGACGCGCACCACTGGCTTGGTGCGGGGAGCAGGAACAGGCCGGACCGGGCTGGCGACGAGCACCACAGGCTTGGTGCGGGGGAGCAGGAACAGGCCGGAACGGGCTGGCGACGCGCTCCGCCGATGCACCCTGTAGCTGCCTCCAGCAGCACATTTCTTGGGGTTGCCTCTCGCGTGTCCGTCGTCGGCACGGTTGGCGCCGTTTCTCCTCTCCTGCCTGGGCATTTACTTTTGCCCATGGCCCTCTGCCCGCGAATATGTCCTCCCAAGACCACCATTGGCCCACCTGCGACATCGCCATACTCTCCTCCTGGGCACGCTGCTTGGTCCTCCTTTGGTGGGATCTTCTGTCACGATCGTTACAGGAAGACTCGGACCAAGGCGCAACGTGATAAGCGTACATTTTATTTACCGTACTGCACACGAAACAAAACAACAAACCAAACGATACGTGAAGTCCTAGGTTATACACACCAAACCAAACGGAACAAGATCCCACAATAAACTAGTGAAAACAGGCTGCCTAAGTATGGTCCCCAATCAGAGACAACGAGCTACAGCTGCCTCTGATTGGGAACCACCCTGGCCAACATAGATCTAAACGATCTAGAACGAAAACATAGAAAATGTAACAGAAACTCCACACCCTGGCTCAACATTTAAGAGTCCCCCGAGCCAGGGCGTGACACCAACAACACAACGATGAGGGACAGAGAGTTCTTAGGCAGGCTAACTAAATAGGATGACTAAAGACAGTACAGTATGGGGAGCACAGATAACTGGCTGGCTGACTGTTACTGCCAGAGCAGAGATCAGATTATGACTTTTGGGGAATTACAAAATAATAGTCATCAAATAAAAACTATGTAAAATACACAACTTAAATATTGTATTATTTTATAGTAATTTCCTATTTTTCTATTGATGTCTACCCAATGTGGACCTGACAGAGACAATGGAATATTTCCTATGTTTTGGCAATTGAATGTTCACTATTTTTGGCTTTGGAATTACCATCAAAAATCTTTGTAATGTCATTATTTCAGAATGCATTTAATGTAAAAAAAGAAAAAAAAGAATGGAAACCGAAATCGAACCGAAACCGAACTGACCTAAAAAAGCACTAATCGCTAAGCACTATCAATTTATCAATATTCAGACTTAAGTTCGCCTATAAAATTATGCCTATAATAGTAATACAAAACTGCACTTTGTCTATTATCTCAAAATATAGTCTGAACATGTGGAAAACATGGTGGAAGAACCTGGATCATTTGAAATTTAAGAATTTTGAGGGACATAGCACTATACACCACCTGAAAATGCATTCATTTCAATGTAATTGGACATACAACATTACCATAATGACATCAGTCCTCATTTAACAATGCTTACCTACCTATAAAAGCCATTGAAGCAGACGTAATTTTTGTAATATTTTTGAGATTAGTAATAATGCTATGCAAACTGCCATTCTAATATGGCATTGAAAAGACAGTTAAGGGTTAAAAAATAGCACATTTTATCTAAGGTTACAAATAAGTCAAACCTGAAAGTAAAAATTAACCCAAAACCTCACAAACCTCTCAGCAGACAGCCAATGAGAACCAACGACCCTGCACCTGCACCACTCATGACACGCTGAAAGTGACTGACAGCTCTGATGGAAATCCCCGGATGAAGTGAAACAGGAAAGATGGCAGAACTGCGCAATGTTCAGGAAACCTGAAGAAATTTGAGAAATTACATTTCTACACTTATTATAGTATAACATCTATACCACAGAGATCCTTTAAATAGTATATGATCTAATAATCATATTATTAATTATTAAAGTGGAACTGACTGTGTTTTAGCAACATTAAATCTTATTACCTTTTAATTTTTTATTTTTCTGACACGGGAGCACATTTTCATAAATCGATAGAATGTTTGGGAATGACGTATAGTAAGGAATTATTGAAAATTCTATAGCAATATAGAGTGGAAAGCGTCAGCACGTTTGGACAATTAATAGACATTGCAGTAAATAAAACCGAATAAAAACATCTGTCTTCTCTGGGACCAGTCTACACAGACCGGTGTGCCATAGTCAATCAGAGCTACAGTAAGCCTATATGCAAATAAGCCATTTGCCACACAGGCCTGCCATCATTCACTTTGAACTGGACTGTGTGTTTACAGAGAGTAGCAACAGCACAACACAACTTTAGATCATTAGAACGCATTCGCCAAAAGCCACAAAATACACCTGAATGGATTTCTGTAAATATGTAAATACCACAGGATTCCTCTTACATTTGGGAACTTCACAGTCCTATTGATCAAACAACCATGAAAAGGGAGGCTCTCTCTCCCTCAGTTGCTTATGCACATTAACAACAACAAGATCAACAACTAATGCTAACCAGAGCGAGATTATCTCAAATCTAACAAGGGAACATTAGATAAACCCTCTCAAACTTTTTCAGCTAGTTGGACTTCAAAATTGCACTGTAAACGATGGAGAGTAGTAGCCTGCTCGTCCTTCTGCAGCTTGCCTGCCAATGCATGCTTGTCCCAACCCACACGAAAGGCTGTAATTTCATAAAGTAGATGACTAAACTGTTGACTCATTTATACTTGCTTGTGTGTCCTATTCAGCCCGCGGGCCTTATGTTTGACACATGCGCTAGCGTATTAGCCACATTATGACTGACTTGTGATCATTGCCCTTGCTAGTTTGATTATAATGACATTCCCAGCCTTGGTTACCATCATCCGTTTTAGTTCAAAATATTGAGTCATTGAAACAGAAACGGTGCATTCCAGATGGGTGGAAATAATAGCCTAAAGAGTGCTCTCACCTGTATGACCTCATAAGTAGAGGTCACATTGGAGATCTGTAGTGTGGCGTATGTGTCATATGCTGCCTGGCCCTTTGTTGG